TCCGTGGGTCCCCTGGGAAGCTGGAGGTACGCGGGGGGCGACTAGGCCCCGCGATGCCGATAAGCCCCTGCCCGGGCCTGGGTTCCGGCGTGGCCGGGTACGTGAAGACCGGGCTGGCGGCCACACCGGTGCCCTTCGCGTTTGTCCCGGGCGGGGCCGAGCGTGCCTTCCTTCCCAGGGCCCTGCGTGCACATCCCGGAGGGAGGCAGAGGACGCTTGTTTGCAAACAGCTTTGCTTTCCAGCGCCTTGGACTGAGTCCTGCGGAGCCACCCCCTGGGTGGGGAGTGGGGAGTATTGAGGTGCAGAGAGTGCGGGGCTCCCGAAGCCCCTGGTACTCCAGGACTAGCATTCACACCTCTCCTGCTAGAGACACAGCCTTTTGCGTCTTATTTGAGGTGAAATTTCATCACCTGCCGCTGGCTCATCCTTTCCGTCTTATGTTACGTCTTGTCTCTGAGCGAGGTCTGCCTTGGAGAAAGCCCCATCCCATCTTTGCCTTGCTAAGTTTCCTAGCTAAGCACCCACAGTTTTCTTAAAAAAAAAAAAAAAGAAGTCTTTTATGAATACGTCTTTTCCACCTTCAAAGAGACAGGAAATGTTTTAATGCTTCAGTCCTTGTTAGAAAAATGTTCCACCCAAATAAGGAACGGATGGCAAGAGAATTTTAAGTCGAGCAAATTATCCTAATAGCAAGAACCCGACAAAAATGCGATAGAGACTCAACTGTAAAAGGAAAATGATTTGTTTTGTTCCGGTAATATTGTAAAAAGAAATAGTGATTGTAGTTTGATACCACAAGTCAGTATTGGATGCTTCTTGTTTATGATAAATGTGATTACAGGTTATTCTTAATTTCCTACTATATCGGACTTATATGCACCTCTAGAACTTTGATTCATGAAAATATGTATATACAGTAAAAATTTTGCACACACGGAGAGGTCCTGTGTCGACTTTCAGTACGTATTTAATAACCAGAGAGAGATTGAGATCACTGATAGTGCCATAGTATGTTTTGATGGTCATTCAATATTTAAAGTGAGGTTCTAGTGATGGTGACTTGTAAAATTATTATTATTATCAGTAGTAGTGTTAAATTAAAATGTTGACTGGTTCTATTTACAGCCAGGCATTTGCTTAAAATTTATAAAATATGTTACTCCTTACCTGAGTGAAAGCCATCAGTTAGTGTGGCTAGTTACTTTTCAGACTTCTCCTGTCTTAACCTGGCTATACAACATGGGAACCTCCAGAGGTCTAAGGGGGTTCAGTGTGGTGAGGAATTTTGAGGATCCAGCGTGTTAGGTGTTTTACCCTTGCTTTGGTCAGATCTTGTGTAAGCATTTGTAACTGGAAAAAGTTGGCTTGACTAAGTAATTTGGTGAATTTAGGTTTTAAAGTCTAATCTTCCCAGAGCTTGTCTCTAAAGACCAGTATTAGAATCAGTTGGGAGTGTGCTGATTAAAAAGGTGGTTTCTGGTCTCCTACATCCGAACTGTGGTGACAACAGTAACCCAAATACCGCGATGGTCATCACCCGTCCTGATTCTTAGTACTACTAAATTTGAGCATCACTGGAAGTGTTAAAAGAGACTGCTTAGGTGAACAAATGGACCTGCTCTCTAGCAAAACTGTCGTAAGTGGCTTTTCCTAGCTACAGATAATGGTTTTATAATGCAGATAGAAAAACTGTGTTTTGAGGGACAGCTGTTTCAGTCGACAAGCATAGAGAGCCTGCTATGGCCATGTTAAGGAAGGCCATCTGGGGGTTCATCTTGGCAATTCATAAACTTTAATATTGTCTGTAAAATGTGGTTGGTATTATACTTAATTTGTAAGACTTTAGGAGACAGCATCCGAAGAAAGTATTGTAATGTATAGAATTTTTAACAGTTTTAGCTATTAGTGTAGGTTCTGTTTTAGCGTTCTGGGAAATACAAAATGACCAAGGATTCTGCTAGCAATTGACTAATTGTGGAAGCAGGACAAGTTTAATGAACTGTTACAAGACTGGGTCAGAAAGGTGTTGTAATTGAGTAAAACGAGCTAGATCTCTGCTTAGGGTTTCTGTGTCTCATCCAGTATCTGGCCCTTCAAGAGCATTGGTAAGGGGTGGGAGCTCACTCAGTGGAAGAAGACTTCCTTAGAATGTACGAGCCCCTCGGTTTAATCCCAGAATTGAGAAAAAAAATCACATGTAGTATTCCTTTCTTTTCCAATTCCTGATTCAGTGTTTTCTTTAAAGAAATAATTGGCATATGTTGCCTGGAAAGTACTAGTTTTATATTAACTCTTTAGTGATGAAAGAACAAATGAATGAGTTGGGATGGTCCCATTTCCTCTGTTGCTAAGCTACCATTTTTATTCCATGCACTAAAGTTTGTTTGGCTCCTCTTATGTGCTGGCCACAGACTGGCTGGTTGCAAGGTACAATGTTTGGTTAAAAGAATTTCCTAGATTTTATTTTAATTTTTTTGTTTCAAGGAGGTGGTCCATACATGTTTTATGGTTATTAATTGCATTGCATGCTGTGGTGCAGAGATGGAGTCAGATATGAACAAGAATCCTTTCTGCACCACTTAGAGCAATGTGACACTGGGTTCTGAGGTTCTTACAGTCTCTTGAAGTAATGGTACCCCTCCCAGGGAAGTAGAACATTTCTATGAGATGAAGTGATCATAGACAGTGCAGAGACATGTTCATTTCTAGTCTTCCTTTTGGGGAAAAATAAAAACCAGAGCTTGTATAGTCTGTGTGGCTTAAAACTTGGTAGCTTGATTTATTTATTTGAAACTAATTCTGCTTTAGGATTTTTTTTTTAATTTAATGGAAAAAAATTAATACTAACTGCACATATTTTCTACTTCATCTTTCGTTTAATAAACTAATATTCTGGTGCCTAAGATACGCTTGTTTGTTAATTCACTTTAGGTTTTACATTACTATTGTGTATTTGGCCTGCAGTGTATATAGAGTGTCATTTCTTTTTTTTTTTCTTTTTTTTTCTCTTGGTGTTTTGAGACAGGGTTTCTTTGTTTAGCCCTGGCATTTCTGGAGCTAACTCTGTAGACCAGGATGGCATCAAACTCAAAGACCCGCCTGCCTCCACTGGGATTAAAGGTGTGTGCCCTTAACCACTGCCTGGCTATAGAGTGTCATTCTTAGTATGTAGTGATAATTGGAAAATACTTAGTTGCAGATACTGAGAGAAATAGTTCATGTGCTTTGTTTAGTTTAAGAACTGAGGAATATTATTCAGAGCATAGATTTTTCCCTTATCATATGTAGTGATGAGAATCAGAGTTCTTATAATTTATCATGTGTAATATTCCAGTCTTGTAACCTATTGCAACCGTGAACAGTCTGTTTATACTTTTTTAAGTCTTAATTTATTCTTCTATAAAACAAAGCTAATATTACCCACTTTGTAGGATTATTATAAGGATTAAGTGATGTAATATATAAATTAGAGATATAGTTCTATTCCATGGAATATAAGCATTACTCTAGAAATGGAAAATATATTTGAGTTTTGAAAAAGTTTAAAAGATCATTAATTATTTATATGGTTTTCTGCTAAGAAATAAAGCTAGCATGATCAATTGTAAAGCATTGCCAATTAAGGATGGGACAAGTTTGCAGAGTTAGTATTTTGATTATATAGCTAATAGGGTGTCTTATACTTTATTATAAATTTTATTTAATGAAATAGTTTAAAAATACTTTTTATTTATATTATTGAGCTCTATATTTTTCTCTACTCCCCTCCCCACCTTTCCCCTCCCCTTAAACCCTCCCCCAAGGTCCCCATGCTCCCAATTTACTCAGGAGATCTTGTCTTTTTCTACTTCCTATGTAGATTATATCTATGTATGTCTCTCTTAGGGTCCTCATCGTTGTCTAAGTTCTCTGGGATTGTGATTTGTGGGATGGTTTTCTTTGCTTCATGTTTATAAACCACTTATGAGTGAGTACACGTGATAATTGTCTTTCTGTGTCTAGGTTACCTCACTCAAAATGATGTTTTCTAGCTCCATTCATTTTCCTGCAGAATTCAAGATGTCGTTATTTTTTTCTGCTGTATAGTATTCCATTGTGTAAATGTACCACATTTTCCTTATCCGTTCTTCAGTCGAGGGGCATTTAGGTTGTTTCCAGGTTTTAGCCAGAACAAACAAACAATGCTGCTATGAACATAGTTGAGCACATGTCCTTGTGGCACGATTGAGTATCCTTTGGATATATACCCAAAAGTGGTATTACTGGGTCTTGAGGAAGGTTGTTTCCTAATTTTCTGAGGAAACGCCACATTGACATCCAAAAGGGCTGTACCAGCTGGCATTCCCACCAGCGATGCAGAAGTGTTCCCTTTTACCCACAACCTATCCAGCATAAGTTGTCATCAGTGTTTTTGATCTTGGCCATTCCTACAGGTGTAAGATAGAATCTCAGAGTTGTTTTGATTTGCATTTCTCTGATGACTAAGGATGTTGAACATTTCCTTAAGTGTCTACAGCCAGAAAATGCTATTTATAAGACAGTTTCTATTTTATCAATTAGGTAGTACTTTAAATTTTTTTCTTTTGAAACAGGGTGTGA